ATGCTGCATCTTGAGACCACTGCATGCTATTACTTATTTCATAGTACTGTTCAGTTCTTTTTTCTTTTCTTTTTTTTTTTTATTGAGACAGGCTCACTTTGTCCCCTTGGGTAGAGTGCTGTGGCATCATAGCTCACAACAACTTCAGATTCTTGGACTCAAGCGATTCTCTTGTCTCAGCCTCCCCAGGAACTGGGACTACAGATGTGCACCACAACACCTGTCTTTTTTTTTTTTTGAGACAGAGTCTCACTATGTTGCCCTCAGTACAGTGCTGTGGTGTCATAGCTCACAGCAACCTCAAATTCTTGGGCTTAAGTGACTCTCTTGCCCCAGCCTCCCAAGTAGCTAGGACTACAGGACGCCTGCCACAACACCCAGCTATTTTTTCATTGCAGTTGTTTAGCTGTTGTTTAGCTGGCTGGGCTAGGTTCAGACCTGCCACCCTCAGTGTATGTGGCTGGCACCGTAACCACTGGGCTACCGGTACTAAGCCAACATGGCTATTTTTTAAGAGACGGGGGGGGGGGTGTCTTGTACTTGCTCAAGCTGGTCTCAAACCTGTAAGCTCAGGCAGTCCACCCACCTCAGCCTCCCAGAATGCTAGAATTATAGGTGTGAGCCATCATGACTGGCTTTTAGTTATTTTTTCCTATGTAAATTGTTTAACTTTTTTTTTTTTAAGACAGAGCCTCAAGCTGTCACCCTGGGTAGAGTGCCGTGGCATCACAGCTCACAGCAACCTCCAACTCCTGGGCTCAAGCGAGTCTCCTGCCTCAGCCTCCCAAGTAGCTGAGACCACGGTACCCGCCACAACGCCTGGCTATTTTTTGGTTGCAGCCGTTATTGTTTGGCGGGCGCAGGCTGGATTCGAACCCACCACCTTAGGTGTATATGGCTGGTGCCTTAGCCACTTGAGCCACAGGTGCTGAGCCTTAACTTTTTAATATTTGCTTAAGGCTCGGTGCCCACAGCTTAGTGGTTAGGGCACTGGCCACATGTACCAGGACTGGTGGGTTCAGACCTGGACAGGGCCTGTTAAAACAATGATGACAACAATAACAAAAGAAAAAAAAAGAAATAGCCAGGCGTTGTGGCAGACACCTGTAGTCCAGCTACTTGGGCGGCTGAGGCAAGAGAATCACTTAAACCCAAGAGGTTTCTGTGAGCTGTGATGCCACGGCACTCTACTGAGGACAACATAGACTCTGTCTCAAAATTAAATAAATAAATAAAACTAAAATAAATATTTGCTTAACATTTTTGTATAACAACCACTGCTACAGGTGGTAAAATTAAAAAATGTGGATGTATGATATGGTCTCTGTAGTCAAGGAGTTTGTAGATTAAAAATAATAGTCATATAATTTGGGCATTTAGGCCAGCTAGAACATACAGTGAGGCACTGTATAATCATAATAATTCTCATTATATTGGTGAGATAGTTAAAGTACAGAAAGACTAATTTCCCCCAAATGAAACAGAGGATGGGGCAGAATGCAGATTTGAATCCAGGCCGGCTGGGTACTTTGTCCATACCAGGGGTCCCAAACTTTTTAAACAAGGGGCCAGTTCACTGTCCCTCAGACCGTTGGAGGGCCAGACTGTGGGCCCCGGGATGAGTCGGCTGCTAAGCAGGACAGGCAGCGGTGGCAAAACACCCAGCGGGCCAGATAAATGTCCTAGGCCGGCCGCACGTGGCCTGCGGGCCGTATAGTTTGAGGACGCCTGGTCCATACCGTGGAACGGTAAGGGCGTAGTTAATTCTGTTTGGAGAATTCTACGTGGAGGCAGCTGGGAAGGGTTGGACACAGGACCCAGCCCTTGAGAGGATGCATAGGATTTCGCCAAATGAAGGTGAAGAATAGCATTACTGGAAGACAAATAGCAAACATTTGTCAAAGGGATGTGAAAATGCATTGTGCGTTGGGAATGACAAATGGTTCAGGGGGACCAGATCCTAAAAGCAGCAGAAGTAAACCTGGCAGGAGAGTTGGAGCCACAGTGTGAAGAGCCACTCATGTGTGCTGCACTGAGAGGTTTGAGCTTTATTGGTGGAAAATGGGTAGCATAGCTGCTGAAGGATCTTAAACTGGAACATGTTTCAAGAGTTGGGGTTGGGTAGCGGTGTGGGGGCTAAATAGAAGACAGGGAAGCCTACAGGAAACTATTGTTCTCATCTAGGGACTGTGATTGGACTAGAACAGATGATGGGGTGGACACAGCCGAGTGCAGTGGGTGTGGGCATAAGAGAAGAGGGTGCTATTAATTCACGCCGGGGAACAGGCAGCTGGGGCACGCAGAATGTTTGGGACGATGCTTTTGGATGTGTTTAAAGAATCTGTGAGCTTTTCCATGGCGATTCTAATATGCTGTTCTATTCTAGTTTTGTCTTGGTGATGTTGAGTCCAGGAGGGATGATGTGTCTTAGCCTGTTTTTCCAGGGCACTTTAAGTCCACATTTGTCACACCTGAGTATGTTTTCAACTATTTCTTTAAAATGGTTGCTAGAATAGTTAGCTTCAGCATGTTTGGTGAGAAAATATATTTTATCCGTGAATTAGACATTCGTAAGTGAGGGCTGATAGACTTTTTCATGTGGATTCAAGTCTGATATCATTGAACTGATAGATAGCATTACAGAGCTAACTTTTAAAATTGATTCAAGTACTGGTATATAATTTTAAAATCCTATGGCTCAAAGAGTAGGGCGCCGGCCCCATATACCGGAGGTGGCAGGTTCAAACCCAGCCCCGGCCAAAAACTGGAAAAAAAAATCCTGTAGCTTCAAGGTATCTCTCTGTCTGTCTGTAGTTTGTAGTAAAGGGAAGCTACTTAATGATTCTTAAAATTTTGTGTGTGTGTTTTATCCTTGCAGTATGAGAATGTATAGCATTTAAAATAATCTGTGTATATAAGCATTAGAATACAGAAATGTGCCTTTAATAAAAAGGATGACTACTTCCTAAAGTGATTCGTTGATAATTCATAGTCATAAAAATGAAGGGTAGAAAGAGACTCGCTAGATCTCGGCAGGGTTGTTCCTGGCAAAGTGCATGTTATTATACTCTTGGGCTGGCTTGAATTACTTGGTGTTTTCCTGTTGGTGGAAAAAGGGATTATGCTTTGAAGAAGTCAGGGGAAGACGTGCAGAAGGAAAAATACCAAATGGCAACTTAGATCAATCTTAATTTTTCACAGCTTGGTCTTCTCTAAAGTCACATTTAGCAGAAACATTAATTAGATTTCAGTGTCCCACTGAGTTTTAAAATTAAACATTTCTGGAACCATCTGTAACATTTTATCACTAATAATATAATGAAGAATATGCTTAGCCTTTTGAAAAATGGGAATTATAACACTATCTTTTGTTCATGAGTGATCGTTTTTTATTACAAAAAACTCATCAAAAATTTTAAAAAGAGTTAAGAAGTAATTAAAGAGTTTTAAGAATATGCCTAAAAATAAAATTCTATAAAAATATTCTCATTGGTGAGACTCTTCCTAAGTTCAGGATTTTCTTTGGGATTTTATGCTTCTTCTAAAAATATTGGTGGTAAGCTTACATGCCATCTGCTAGCATAATGCTGCTTGTTTGAGGCTGGATTGAAGATAGTAAGGGGGGCTGTTTTCATCCTTGAACTGTGGTTGCCTGAACCAGGGTGGAAGCGAATGGCAGACATGGCAGCTTAGAATAGGCCCTGCAGTCAGGCCACCTCTCCGCTCTTAGAGGGGTGAATGGGACGAGTCCTTCCATCCCTTGTGCCTCTGCTTCCTGATTTTCAAATGGGGGTGACCACACCTGCCGCATAGGGTTGTGGACAGCGTATGTTCTGTTGCCTCTCCTGCGTGGTTTTCTGTTTCAGTTGCTGCTTATTCAAATACAGCAGAATCTCCCTACACTGACCATCTCTTTAAGTTGACTAATTTTCATGGGCTAGACATGCACCCCATGTACACATTACACAGTAGGCCTCATTCTTTATGTTGGCCACCTCTGCATGTTGACCAGTTTGTCACAGTCCCTTGGGACGGGGGGCATCAACTCACAGAGCATCTTTACTACACTCAGGCCCGAGTATCAAGTAAAAAAAAAAAAATCCCTCCTCCTAGAAACCAAAGAAATAAAGAATAAGTGTTTTCTGTCTCCCCTTCCCCTCCCCCCAGCTTTGCCCCAAATCTCAATTTTGTGAGACTTTAACTAGACCTCAGTCTGCGTGGCCCCCTCTGGGCTGGCTGTCAGCCTGCTGTCCTGCGCTGTCAGAGGGGTGTGTGTTCCGTGCTGCCTAGAACGTTCTTTCCCACACTGCACTTGAAAAAATCCTGGCAATCTCTCTGTTCTTCCTGTTGGGCTCATTTTCTCCGACATGCCGAGGTGGGTGTGCCTGCTCCTTCCTCTGTGACCTGGCTGTGACCTGTCCTGTCTCTGGGTAGCTCCTGCCACAGCGCTGTGTCCATGTCCTTGGCCTTTGAACCAGTGAACTTTCCTTATGGCAGCAACTGTTACTTCTTATTTTTGCATAATTTCTCTCTAGCCTATTGCTAATTATTTATTAATCTCTTCATAAATGAATATCTACTTTAAAAAACTATCACTGAAACATTAATATGCTGGAATTCAGTAAAACACAGAAGAAGAGAATTAAAGTTTGAAGTTATATTTTTGTTGCTTTATAAAAGATATTTAAAATTTTTCCTTTTAATTTGTAGAATACACAGGATTTTCAGTGATTAGTTTTAAAGTGTTAAAAAATGTAAATAATCTCTTTATCTTTTTGCCTGAATGGAGCATTTTCTTTCTATAATGCTAAACTTCAGTTATAGAATACTGTTGATACAACTCTAATTGGACACCAATCCATTTTTAGAAAGTTAGATAGTGAATTTGCTGCCTAATATAGCAGAACTTCTTCTAATAGTTCTTTTTTAGCAATATTTTCTTTGATTTTTTTTTCTTTTGGTAATTTGTACAGTAACAGTGAATTTCAATTTTATTTTAGCAAAAGCACCTGGAAATTGAAAGAACTACCAAATGGCTGAAAATGCTGAAAGGATGGGAGAAATACAAGAACACTGAGAAGGTAACTTAAAACATTACTGATTACTGCTACATAGAACTGTAAACATTACTGCCACATGAAACTGTAAACATTACTGCCACATGAAACTGTAAACATTACTGCCACATGGAACTGTAAACTTAACTGCCACATGAAACTGTAAACTTAATGTGGGTTTCCTCCTAGATGTTCTTCTTCAATTGTAAGAGTGTTATAGCCACATTTGTTTTTGAAACTGTAGTTTAATTTAGCGGTATGCCTCAAATTAGGAGCCCTTAATGTTATAAGCAATGTAACACCCATATCAAAGTGGTTTCAACAGTGAAGAGGCTTTCCTGGATGGTCCGGAGATGGTTTTCAGCAGTGATTTAGTGATTTAGTTTTTCCCATCTCTTCTCTGCCTTCAGTTTTCTCTGAGGTAGGCACAGTCTCCTTTCCCAAAAGCTTCTAACAAACCTCCCCTTAAAGTTTTTTGCCTTGCATTGAGTTTGTGGTAAGTTTTAAAGAAAAATACACACCTCCATTAATATTGCCATGAGTCTCTTCAGAAAGGCCTTTAAATAGTGGGAAGGCATCAAATTCTTGGTGGTGGAAGTTTTCCAAAGTTCTGATTTTACCTGGAAGGCCAAATGTTGTCACTGATAACATATACCAGGCCAGTTATTTTCCCTCAAGTGACAAGCTCACTTCATTTATTTTTGAGAAAGTGTGTGCAGGTACCAGAAATCTGAACAGCTCTTGTTGGTTGGTCAGCTGTTCCTTCAAGTAATAGGATGTTCCCGACAGGCATGTGCTCCCGTCCCCGCGCTCTGCCTGGAGGCACCGCAGATCCTTGCCAAGCCGCTCAGTACTCTGGATCACATCCCCTTTCACCACTTAGGTCATTAGCGACACCTGTGCTCCAGGGTTGAGATCAAATAAAATGAATGCTTTTTACTGTTTCATTGAGGACCTTCCTAAGTGAAACTGACTTTAAACTGTGAGCAAAGAACTGTGATTCCCAGCACAGCCCAACTGCAGCCTCTGTTTGTGCCACCCAATGCCACATGGTTTTGTCACATGCCAATGATTTTGTCACCCTCACTTTTCTTCAGTCAGCACAAGACAGCACCATGAAAAATGAAAGAATTTTCATCTTATTGTGAAAAGCTTTGACTATGCTTTTAGAACTGCCGCCATCTGAGCCTCAGTTTCCTTATCTGTAAAATGGAGATAATAGTCACTATTTCAAAGGCATGAGATTTCATGGTTTAATGCACGTGAAGCATTTGGCATTGGTCCCTTGTCTGAGTAAGCATTCAGTAAATGTTAACTACTGCTATTAATTTTTTGAAGGAAGGCTTAATGACAAAAAAATTTTGAAGGAAAAAAGGAATCTTCCATTGTCCTACTTGCCAGACACAACTGAGTTAACTGTCAAGGTACTCATCCGTTTCCTCAAACTGTTTTCTATGTAGTCCTATTTCCCACTTTTTCTGTAGATATAAATTATTGTGTGCCTGCATTTGCCAATAGCAACTTCCTTGAGCACCACTTCTAATATACATAGAAGCAGTAGGATAGCTTAATGGTTTAGAGACCGGTTTTGGACCTAGACTATCTGGGTTCAGACCTGGGCTCTGCTACAGCTGTGTAACCTTGGGAACGGTATATAACCTTTTCCTACTGTGGTTTATTCATCTGTAAAGTGGGGGTAGTAATACTCCATAGCACTACTCCATGATCATTGTTGTGAGGATTAAGTAACTCAGTCAGTGTGAAGCAGAGATAGCACCTGACACTGAGTAGGCATTTGGTACACGTTGCTTGTTACGAGTAGAGAAAAGGGCTCTCTAGTGTTCTCAAGCTGGGGAAACCGGAGCTAGCAAAGTAAAACAGCGTTTCTTTACCATAAGACTCTCAGTCTTTAATATTGTAACATGTGATATGAGTTAAGAGAGACCTTAGGCTCCATGCTTGTAGCACAGTGGTTAAGGTGCCAGCCACATGCATCAAGGCTGGTGGGTTCCAGCCTGGCCTGGGCCAGCTAAACAACAATGACAACTGCAACAAGAAAATAGCTGGGCGTTGTGATGGGCGCCTGTAGTCCCAGTTATTTGGGAAGCTGAGGCAAGAGAATCACTTGAACCCAAGAGTTTGGGGTTGCTGTGAGCTGTGATGGTACAGCACCTACTGAGGGTGACGTAGTGAGACTCTGTTTTAAAAAAAAGGAAAAAAGAGACTTTAAATTTTGTGACATTTATTTAACCATGAAACTCTCTTTATGCTGCGTGTCTTACAGAGTAGATGTCATTTCTCTTTTTGCACAGACTGAGTGTCCTTAGACTCTTATTATTTTATTTTCATCCAACATAAGTTCATTTTGGGTTTTAGATTTTATTAACTGTCTGTTTTATCATCAGATTTAGAACTCAAGATGTTTTTAAGACAAGTTAGTTAAAGTAGACTATTATTTATAACATCTGGGCTCGTGTTTAATATCATGTTGTCTCAGATTGGCCCAAAGTTGATGATTACCTTGTGTCTTCATGGAAAGATTGCTTGGGTGGTAATTACTGGATAAATTTCAATGCATTCCTCCTACACTTTAATCTCACATTCAGTCTAATAAAATATTTGGAGAATTATATGGCTTTATGTTCTTCCCTGGCATACATGTATCTATTAAAGTAGGTAAGCTCTGTGAAAATGAGCAATTCTACCAGGCTATTACCCTGACAGCAACTCTGGTTAATGCAGGTCCCATTAAGAGAGATTTTAGCTGTACTATTTCTTTGAAGTATACTTTTAAACCACTATCCCATAACTGCAATGCTTGAATCATTTGGTGATAAATATGGTCCAATTTGATGTGAAACAAAATGAACCTTCTAAAAGAATTACTGCTTTCAAATTATCCCTAGTTTTAAATGGCAGTGAAGTAAAAAGCTAGCATGGATTTTTCTTCTCTTCCAAGGGGAAGTCTGTTTTCTCTCCACAAATTCTTTACTTACATAGTAGTAATGCAGAAAAAGTCTAAATATATCTTAAAATAAATGTCTGGTCGAGAATACTTATTTTTAGAACCTAAACTTTAATAAAAAAAGCTTCCATTCAGGTTGTTGTGTTGCCTACATGTTCTCACAGTGACCGCCCCCAGATGCCCTTGCATTTTCAAGAGCCAGTCCTCGCTGTCAGGTGAGGCCACGGTGATGTAACTGGCCATGGTCTAGTGTGTCTAAGCCACAGGACAGCAACGTGTCTGCTATGGATACAGATGTTTTTTGTTGGTCAAATGACTGACTGGGCCTTTGAGACCATATGAGCCAACATTTTATTTTACTGACTGGAAAATGGAGGCAAGTCATTTATAAATAAATTTCCTAAGGTCACAGAGCTTGTTAGCAATAAGCTGGAGATTCTGTGCCCAGACTCTGGAGCGCATTTGATTGTACCATCTTTCATGTTGGGTTTCCCTTTCAGTGTATTATTGATAGTTAGAAAAGGCAATAGGGCCTTGCAGATAGTTTAAAACTGTTTTAGATGCAGATGTGGGAGACTTGGCACCATTTGAAGGCACAAAGGAGCCAGTGGAGCAGGGGTGATGGAGGGAAACAGAGAGGCAGTAAGGGGCAGAAGCAGCCCCGAGAGGGCCTTTGGTTTCCTAGTGCACACTTGTGGGTTTGGGAGGCCCACAAAATTGAGCCCGACTTGCTGGCTGGAAAGTTCATTTATTGGCAGCTATACTGACGTGGATTGGCACACTTAACACTGTTGTGAGGTCACCAAAATTAGAAAAAAGTACTGAGAACATGAGTCGTTTCATGGAGTTTTTTTAGTTAGTAGAAGATTAAATCTGTCTGTAGGACTGAAATAGACAACTTGATTTTATTGGCAAACGAACAAAGTTGCTGGAAACAAAAGGCAGATTTCAGGTAACTTTTCTTTAAAAAGGATTTTATTTATCAAATCCAAGAAATAAATCTATAACAGAATCTTAAAGATGGTACTTTTCAAGTTGCAATATTAAAATGTTAGAATTCAGTATATATAGAATGTCTTTGTTGTGGTTAAGACTATGGATTCTGAAATCCGACTCAGACTAACTGAATTCAAATTCTTACCAAGTTTCCTTTGAGCTTCTCAACTTTCTACATATTCTTTTATTTGATAATGATAATGCCTACATCTTCAGTGATGTATTAAATACTAACATTACAAAGGATAAACTGAGTTAAAAACACATAGCACAGTGCTGGCTCATAATATTAGTCAGAAGATGTTAGTGTGACTATTGTTAATTCTGTTCCTGCTGTGTGATTCATTGTTAATCCTTATCCCTATTCCCACCCTCCTGTCTCTTCCTCTTCCTTGTGCATTCCTATTCAGTATTGAGTTTGTTATTTTCTATAAAGGAAATATTTTCTAATTCTCACACAGAATTGGTTCCTCTCTTTCTCCGTTTTTTCTAACATACATTGGTCTCTTTGAAAGTTTTGAGACTGACTTTCCATCATTTCACTTCCAAGAAACACAGTTGGAAGCATCCCTTCTGACTCCCCTCTGCAAGTTCCAACTTGTGCACTTACTGGTGTTGCTGGGAGAGCGTCATTTGTTTCCATCCATGCAGATTTTACATTTTTTGATTTTTACGTATCAAAAGTTTCCTAGTGACCCACGTAGTCTCAGGATGAAAGCCACAGCAGGTTCACTGCCCTCACACCACACCTTTATCCTCGGCCCTGTTCCGGTTTCCTCTTAGAACTGTATGTGTCTTTTAGAGAAGAGACGACCATCCCCTCAGATCACCTGCTGCAACTCTAGACTGTGGGGCCCTCAGCCTCCATTTACCACCCTGGCGCAGCGGGGTCTGTCTCTACCCCAGCTGCTTCTGTGGGGCTGAGATGCTCTGCTGTGACAGCGGTTAGGGCCTGTGACGGTGTCATTACGAAGGCTTACTTTATAAGTAAGTTATAATTACTTGCTTCCGTATTTCTTTTCCCACTATGCCGTGAATGCTGACATCTTTTTTGTGTTTGGAGCCATGGTACTCAATAGGGTATTGTCGATGAAGCAGGTGTTCCTGATAAGGTTTCACGAATCGTGAAGGAATGAATCATGTTCATGTGTAAGTTGGGCACGATGAGCCATCACTTCCTCCTGATAAACGCTGCTGCTTGAGTAAAGCTGCAGCTTCCAGGGGGCAGCGTGACTTGGCAGAAAGACCTAAGTTAGGAGCAGGAAGATGGACCTCCCACCTAGGCCAGACCTAGGCCAGCCGTTTCTCTGTATTGTTTCCTTCTATGCAAATGGAAAACACTTACGGACCTTCTTTATGGGGTTGTTGTAGAAAATATGAAACTCTGTGTTGACAATTGGAAGATTATCACCAAATGTAAGCTGGACTACTGTTCTGAACAGTGAGCAGCATCAGCGTAATGTTGTGATCTGATGGAATTCCTACTTTGTTTTACAAATTTACCAAAACTTCTATGACAATTTGAAAATTAAGGAAGGAAGATATATAACTTTAGTTAGTCTGGTATGTAATAGTACAAGTACAGTAGAGCCTCCATAGCTGACCACTCTGTACACTGACCACCTCCTTCAGTTGACCTAGTTTTCATAGACAGGACACGCACCCCATGTGCACATCAGTACAGTAGGCCTAGTTCCCTATGGTGACCACCTCCCTGTGTTGACCAGCTTGTTACAGTCCCATGGGTATTCAACTTAGAGATTCTACTGTATTTGAAAACCAATCAGGATAATTTAAAATTCTTATTGTAGGGTCTTATAATTTAATTCTTTTTCTGCTATATGTGATTTCATTTTATGTAGATACTTTGTTTGCTACCTCCTACAGTTTAGATTCCAGAGACTTTTTTTTTTTTAAGAGACAGAGTCTCACTTTGTTGCCCTCGGTAGATAAAGCTCACAGCAACCTCAAACTCTTGGGCTATGCGATTCTCTTGCCTCAGCCTCCCCAGTAGCTGGGACTATGGGCACCCGCCACAACGCCCAGCTGTTTTTCTGTTGCAGTTGTCATTGTTGCTTTAGCTGGCCTGGGCTGGGTTCGAGTCCGCCAGCCTCAGTGTGTTTGTCTGGCTGAGCTGTGGGCACCGCTTATCAGTTGTCTTTTACTAATTGGTAACATTTTGTATTTCTTTGGGGGAAGTTATTTAACTTCATTTGATTTACTTTCCCTATCTGTAAAATTGAGTTGTTGGTATAATTAAATGAGACAAATATCTGTGAGTAGCTTAACTTAGTTTTCTGCACAGAGTAAATGTCTAGTAAAAGTTAGGGTTAATTGTTACTGTGGGTGATGAAAATGACAATCTAGTAATGTTTCTTAACCTTTTCTGTATGTGCCTAATTTTCAATTTCTGTTTTCTTTCTTTCTTTCTTTTTGGTGGGGGCTGGGCTTGAACCTGCCACCCTTGGCATATGGGGCCGGCGCCCTACTCCTTGAGCCACAGGCATCCTAATTTTCAATTTCAATTGCCCTCAGGAGTAGCATGAGGACCATTAATTTTATATTTCTACCTGAAAATTTTCTACTGTTTCTTACTAATTAATCATAGCAATTTTTTTTACACCTATATTTAACTTTAGAATAAGTGAGGGGCACTAATTTATGTATAATTATTGAGTACAGAATTGAACAAAAAGCAATAAAATGTTTTTTTCAGGTAAACATAATTTAAGAAATATATGTCTTGGCTGGGCATGGTGGCTCATGCCTATAGTCCAGGCACTCTAGGGGCTCAGGCAGGTGGATTGCTTGAGCTCAGGAGTTTAAGACCCAACCTGAGCAAGAACAACCCTACTAAAAATAGAAAAAAAATTTAGCAGGGCGTTAATGGCGCATGCTTATAGGCCCAGGTATTCAGGGTAGGGAAAGGATCGCTTGAGCCCAGGAGTTTGAGATTGCTAAGAGCTTGGATGATATGGCACTCTACCCAGGGCAACAGAGTGAGAACTATATCTCAAAAGGAAAGAAAAATTTAGAAGTCTTATTTTGCTTATTGAAACAATCTTTATTTTACTCAATTCAGGTCCGTTGAAATCAATCTATTTACCTGCCATTGTATTCTGCTTTACTATTAAAATTTCACTTTTTGCATTTGTGATAATCTCCACGCTATCTGGTGTTCATGAAGTTAGTTTTTACGGCTGATATTCCTTTAAAAAGTACAGTTTACTATAAGTTAGAAGTGGATGTAGATTGCAAACTTCCTTTAGAAAATAAGTCCTAAATTTGGAATTAACTTCAGTATGTAGTTATTGACCGTAAATGTGAGCAAGTGGGGGAGTGACACGCAGAGCCCTGTGGTGCGCATTGCTCCAGTTAGGGTTAGGGCGTGGGGTGGAGCTTTCATCATTCTCGTTACTGTCTACTGACGTTTCTGATTGGAGGCTTACTGTGTTTATACCAAAAGAACAAGGTAACTCAGTGTGCTGTTATCCAACTGAATCCATCTTACGGTGTTCCGTGTCTCTCAGTGGGAGTTGCTCGACATTGCTGCTCATTTTCAGCCACATGATCGAAGTTTCTTAAAGCTACTTCATGACTTAGTTACTAAAGCTTTAGTTTTAAAAAAATCCCGAGTAGTGTAAAAGTTGAAGCCTTATTTGTTAGTTACCATAGCTCTTCAACATTTCAATTATTAGAACTTGCACCTTATTTTCTCAGCCATCGAGTCAAGTGTCTTACTGTGGTTATGAATGTGATCATGTAGTCACTCTTACCCCTTAAGGGTTCTGCCATAATTTGTTTAATCATTTCCCTGCTCGGACATCTATTTTTATGTTTCAGAAGTGTTATTATGCCTAACATTGTAATGACCATAATCGTTTTCTATGTGATTTTTGAATAATTAGACTTGAGGGAAAATTATAATTACAAAAGATGGAGAAGTATATTGAATCTTAAGATTCTTATGGCACTAGCAGTGCACGTTCAGGGATCCAAGGAGTTGAAGATACTGATGATGTACACGTAATTCATTCAAAAGTAATGCATTTCCTTGATGGAGATGTATTGCTATTTTTGTCTTATCAGATAGGATCAATGAATGCCATTTAAGAAAAACACAAGGTTTTCCTAAAAAACAAACAAATAACCGCCTCCCCTCCAGAAAAACACCCACCAAGAATTGAAATGAGAAGAAAGGTGGAGAAAGACAGAGGATAAGAGAAAGAGGGGAGAAGGGACTCAGGCGGGAGGGGAAGTGGGGCACGTCCTGGAGACTGTGGTGGGGTTAATTTAGGTGTGAGATGGACAGGAAGGAGTTAGATATGTTCCAGAGAACCCCAGAGAGAAGATGGTCAGAATGAGTTTAGGGGGGAGACAGTACCCGCCACGTTCCATGAGGACACTCTCGGCACAAGGCGACCTTTATGCCACTTGGAGCATCTTTGAGGTGTATGGAGGGAGAGGAAGAAAGCACATAGTAAGTTAGTGCAAATCACGTTCACAGCTTAAAAAGAGCACTCGCTATGCTTCTGTGCTTCTCAAGGGACACTCACAGCCGTGAACGCACATTCTGAACCATCTCTTGTTCTCTGTCCCTCAGTGTCCCCTGTGAGAATCTGAACAATAGAGGTGGCAGATCTGTGTGCCTGTTGGAGGTTTCACTTCATTGTCCAGGATACTGTGAAAACACAAGACTAACAGATATTAAGGAGAGTAGTTGAAGGGTTTAGTCTAAGTTTTGTCAGTTTGTAACCTTTAGTTTCTTTTTCTTCTCCTGTAAGTTTCACAGAAGAATTTACAAAGGAATCCCACTCCAGCTCAGAGGTGAAGTCTGGGCTCTCCTGCTTGAGATCCCTAAAATGAAAGAAGAAACCAGAGACCTTTATAGTGTGAGTAGCTGAAGCTAACCTGTTATTTTGGAATTAAAAAGTAAAGTCCATTTCTTTTGTCTTTCAAGGTATATGTAAGATGGTCTTATCTTCGCTTAAAATTATATTAAAACGACCTTACATTGGGTTTTGGAGGCCTATTACTTGTTTTTTAGATTGCAGTCCACTTAAATTTCAAATAGATACTTCAGCAACAATGTCATTATATCAATCCATAAGTTGAAATGCTTTTTGCATATTTAATAATTAAAGTATTTAAAATAATGAATCTGTGGACATACTCATAGGGGAAATTGACTAAGAGCTGATGGTAGCTGCTTGTTTGCAGTGTAGTGTTAATGGAGAGAGAGACTTAGATCCACTCTGACAGTTTATGAGAAACAGCAGAATTTGGTTTATCCAGCTCCTGCCCTACATGACTCTTTTCTTCCAAGGTGAAAAAAGAAGAACTCCCCCAAGATTATTAGGGTATCTCTAGGTTTTATTATTTTTTAATAAAAAGTTGAACTTTTGACTGAGTGATAAGTAATATTTTCCTTAAATTGGGCAATGCGGTAAATGTACCTCCTTGTTATTATCTTAGCTATACCCTTTCTAACTCTAAATTTTATATTAACCTTTGAAAAGAGTAAAAAAATTACATCTAAGATCCTTAAACCTATAGATTTTGAAATAATGTTCCTTAGAAAATGTTTAAATAGAATAAATTAAAATGGAAGAAATGGGAAAACCCAAAGCCAATTTTATAAAGGCACTTTGGTATTATTTTGATTTTTTTTATGTATATACACACACTAAAAACACATAATATTTTTTTTTTTTTTTTGAGACAGAGCTTCAATCTGTCCCCCTGGGTAGAGTGCCGTGGCATTACAGCTCACAGCAACCTCCAACTCCTGGGCTCAAGCGAGTCTCCTGCCTCCGCCTCCCAAGTAGCTGGGACCACAGGCGCCCGCCACAACGCCTGGCTATTTTTTGGTTGCGGCCGTCATTGTTGTTTGGCGGGCCCGGGCTGGGGATTCAAACCCGCCACCTTAGGTGTACGTGGCTGGCGCCTTAGCCGGTTGAGCTATAGGCACTGAGCCCGTAATATTTTTTTCATGTAAAATTTCATCAAGATGAAAGGTAATACATACTGGTAATTTAAAAAGCTACTCCTAGGTCTGAATAAAAGATTTTAAAATTTAGCTATTTGTACCCTATCTATGCATTTACACCTCAGGATTTTGGAGTTTCAAATAATTTGAAGCAGTTGGTAAGGTATTTGCGTTTATTATCATAGTGTTAGAGGCAGTGTTGAAATGACCTGTGAGAGAACATTCAGGGAAGACAGCGCTCAGACCCGGTGGGGTGTGCTTGGTGTGTGTCGTGTTCTCAGTAAATACTTAACAAGGTGGAGAATGAATGAAAGTGGGAAGCACTTGGTTTGCTGTGTGAGTCACTACAAAAGTTTTGAGACAGACTGTGTTATGGTCCATTCTTTTACTTCCAAGAAACCTGGTCTGCAGCACCCTTTCTGATCCACCCGTGCAGGTTTCAGCCTGCTCGTTATATTGGTGTTGCTGGGAGGGCTTCATCTGTTTTTCTCATCATGGATTTTACATTTCTTGATTTCTGTGTATCTTGAAACTTACATAATGCCCCACATATAGCCAGTACCTCAAACTGGGTGGCTTAAAACAATAGAAATCTGTCCTCTCACAGTTCTGGAGGAGAGAAGGCTGCAATCAGGTGCTGGTAGGACTGTGCCCTCTGGAGGCTCTGGGCTTCACCCTTCCTCCCCTCCCTTCAGCGTCTTGGGGCCGCCAGCGTCCTGAGTGCTCCTGGGCTCTAGCTCTGTTGCTCTGTCTTGGTCTCCTCCTCCCTGTATGTCTGTGTCGTTCCAGAGAAGAACCCCGGTCATTGGCCGTAAGGTGCACTCTCATCCAGCATGATCTCCTCTCAACTTGGTCTCATCTGCCGATATCCCATTTCCAAATAAGGTTGCATTCACAGGTTCTTGATGGACATGAATTTTGGGGAGACACTATTCAACCCAGCACACCTGATAATAGCAGAACCATAGTTTTCAGTTATGTTTTTGGCTTTTTCTATGTAGAATAAAATTATCCAATGACCAGTTAATATGAGAGAACCCTTTAGTAAGAACTGATAGCACCCACAACAGAGGAAATGCCTTGCCACCCAATGCTTTCACACTTACAATTTTCAACACTCATAAATTATGTGAGTTTTCTCCAGCTTTGGTATTTAGCCAAGTCTTCATTTCCTGGCTGTCCTTTCTTGTCCTCTCTCTGCCAAAGTGGTGCACGTTGCTCTCCACACTCTGTCACGAACTAGAACCCCAGCAGGAATAAAGCCACCTGCTGTGAATCCACCAGGACTGTTCTCAGGTGAAGTCACTGGGCCCTCAGGGCTTCAGGCTCCCGGTGCCCCCGATGCCCTGTCTTGGAGTAAAGTTGGGTGTGAGATGAGTAGGTGCGAGGTCCAGAGTGCTTTCTTCTGTGTCAGAGGAGACATGATTGCAGAGAATTATTTAATAATGGTGTATGACAAATACTCTAAAAGAAGGAAAACAAAAATTGGCTGAGTTGAAAAGAGAAAGAGAGGCAACCACCTCCATGATTCAGGAAGACTTTGTAGAATAGGATAGGAGGTGTTTGAGGGAGGCTTTGTTTCCCAAAGGAAAGGAAACGAGGGAGTTTCCTCGGCACATTGCAGAGACCTTCCCCCACGGTGACAACACCCATTTTCCACCTAAGTGCCTCCCCTGTACTTTGGCCCTCAGGTCTGGGGGTTCATTAGACACCATTTCTTTTAAATAATGTGCTTATTCTTTTTTTTTTTTTTAATTTTTTAGCAAAACTTTTTTTTTTATTAAATCATAAACACATAGATCATCAATGCATTTATGGGGTACAGTGTGCTGATTTCATATAGAATTAGGAATGCTTACATCACACTGGTTAATATATATCTCATCTCATTTACTTAATTATTGTGTTAAGACATTTATACTCTATACTGATAGATCTGACATGTACCCTTGCATTATGCACCATATGTGTGATCCCACCATTCACCCTCCCGCGATCTGACCTTGCCCCCCATTCTACCCCCCCCTTCCTTCATCTTGGGCTATATTTGTGATCTATTCTTCATATGAAAGTGTGAGTGATTGTAAACTGGTTTCATAATAGTACTGAGGACATTGGATATTTTTTCTTCCATTCTTGAGATACTTTACTAAGTAGGATATGTTCCACCTCCATCCATGTAAACATAAAAGAGGTAAAGTCTCCATCTTTTTTAAAGGCTGCATAATTGTGCTTATCCTTACACTGTTGTTATGACACTCGTGGTCCTCACCCTCTCCCCCCTCAGAGATCACTGTAGAAGCTATTTACCTTCTTTTCATTCTGGAGGTAAGAAATGTGTCTGGTTTCCTGCATTCTGTGCGTTTGCTTATAAGCATTTTAGGGCATAAGTAATATTTCTGACTTGCATTTTTTCCCCTACTCAGTTGGGTTTTGCTTCTTTCATGAGGCCTTTTGTGGATTTTCTTGTCTTCTGGAGAAACGAACATTATACTTATGTCTAGGTCTTTTTCTCCCTTCCCATTAAATTGTATTCTAAGGTATTTTTATCGTATCTTGTCAAACATTTTCTTCTTGTGTTTTGACGTCTCATCTCTTGCCAGGAGGCCTGTATAGCAATAACTTTAAGGTCTTCACTTGCTTGTTATCTTCAAAAAAAAAAAATTAAGAAAAGAACTCTGTACAGATTTTTATTTTTTTAAGTTAAATGTTGTAATGTCTTCTGAACCGACTTTTATCAGAAATAAAACATGCAGTAATATTTTCATATGATTCTAACACAATACTGTAAATATCTCCGCTGTCTTCAGAACTCTGAAACATACATGGTGATTGCTGCCCTTCTCTGAGCTCCACCTTGAATCATGGAAACGCACACACTCACAGAGTGCTGAACGCACCCATGTGTATTCCAGACATGCACAGGCAGCCGCCTTCTACTCGGAGCTGAAGTCAGGAACAGTTATATTTATATTTATATATATGTGTATATATATATATATGAATTGATTTTAGCAGAAGTCTGTATAATATGTACATATGTATATAGATGCTTATTTATACAAAACATGGTTAGGTATAAATTAATATAACTTTAATCTCCCATCTGGTTAAACATAGGAGATTAAACATTTCCCTTCCTTTCCCTTGAAATCCCACTAAATTGACAGCATTTTTTAAAAGGCAAACCCACAGAAATGAGAAAATGGGAAGAGAGATAACAGCTGCCAATTTTTGGAAACTAGAGTGTAGGCAGGCTTTCAGTAAACTTAGCAAACTTGAGAAAGCTGCATCATAGGCTGGCAGTGGGAAATTAGACAAGCAACCGATTCATATCTCAGATCAGCAAAGGCTCAGTCATTGCCAACTGCAGGAACCTCTGGAGGTGACCACAAAAATAAAAGGGGTAGACAGTCTCTTTCAGAAGCAGTTGAGCCCCTGAACCCCTCCCAGTGCTGGCCTAAGACAAGGACCCTCTGCACCAGGGACACGGGCACTGCTGAGTGGACAAGGCCAAGCAAGCAGAGGGCCTGACAGTCCAGCCTTTCTCCTCAGCTCAGCTTCCAGGTCACTGGCAGCCGGGGGCCTGTCCTTCTCACAGGTGATCAGAAGAGCTTTCTCTGGGGAACAGACCTGGAGATCCGACTTCAGGGGACTCCACAGTCAAGACCACAGTAGTGATGCCTGTAATGTCCCACATCTCAATATAAGCAGGAAACTGTGCCATTGATTTGAAGAAAGAGACTTGGAGGACAAATGAAAGCAAATGGAAAAAAGCAACGCATAAGAAACAGACGGCAAAGCAAGGAGAGAACTTTTAACACTACTGTTAATATCTTCAGAGAAATAAAAGTGGATATTGCATCCATAAAACAAGTATAGGACGCTATAAAAAAGAGCATTCGAGAGCAACAAAGAGCTTAATAGAAAAAAGACCAGAAATGAAAAACTTAATCGAAAAGAACAATGGAGGGAATTTCTCAGGCATTATTAATAAATTATAAAAGCAAAGAGCTGGAAAATAATAGAAAATACAAGAAAATTAAACAGCAGTGTAGTTTAATAGGAGAAAATAAGAATGTGGGGAAGGGAGGATGAGGAAGTCAACAAATTATTGAAGAACATTTCTCAGAGCTGAGAGATGTGCCTGTGAGTTTTTCAGATTGAAAGTATCCATCAAGGGCTCAACCCTGTGGATAAAAATAGATCTAAGCCAAGTGCAAAGAAGTTTCAGAACATGGACAGAGAAACTCCTATGAGCTAGAGAGAAAAAACAGATTGCATATAAACTGTCAAGAACTGGGATGGCAGCACCAGAAGGCGGGCGACGACGGGGCAGTGCCTTGGGGTGGGGGGAAGTATTTTCCAAATTAGAATTCTGGAACAGCCCAACATTTTAATAAGGTGGTAGGATTATCAGACATCCAAAGTTTAAAGATTCTGTCTTGTATTGAGCTACCTAAGAATGTTCCTCCAGAGCAAGGGAATAAGCTAAGAGGAAAGAAGATCTGAGACCCAGGAAACAGGGGACCTGATGCAGGGAAAAGCAAAGGGCAGCCCCAGCAGATGGTGAAGGGAACTCCTAAGGCCAGGTAGCCTGGAGATGGTCTGGGAGGTGTTGGAGCTGGTGGGATGCCTGTTCCACTGGAGGAGAGGGCGTCGGAGGTGTGGGAGCCGGTGGGATGCCTGTTCCACTGGAGGAGAGGGCGCCAGAGGTGTGGGAGCTGGTGGGGTGCCTGTTCCACTGGAGGAGAGGGCGTCGGAGGTGTGGGAGCTGGTGGGATGCCTGTTCCACTGGAGGAGAGGGCGCCAGAGGTGTGGGAGCTGGTGGGATGCCTATTCCACTGGAGGAGAGGGTCTGGGAGGTGTGGGAGCCGGTGGGATGCCTGTTCCACTGGAGGAGAGGGTCTGGGAGGTGTGGGAGCCGGTGGGAT